AAAAACGCAACCGCGATTACTGACCATTGCCCGCAGGCCGTACTTCGATATCCATTTTCGCTTCACTGCTGGGATTTTTATTCGCCGCGTGCAATTTTAATGAAAACACATCTACCGGGTTCGCGATAATCGATAGGCAAGTGGACGCAAGAGATACATCACAGTCCCGTAAGAGTTGAATAATCACTATAGATAAATATAACAGAAACTCTCATTATCATAACTAATCTTACTACTGCGATATAATAAATTCGTGCATTATAAAAAAAAAAGAGAGACACTTTTCTCAAAAGTATTGAATCATGTATGCAGTTATCTTTTAAAATTTAATTTAGAATTCATAATAAATCTTTGAAGCACTTGAAATTATCGAAAATAATGTCTCTTATTTATCTAATTTATTTCGTCGAATTATTTTTAAAATTTTAAATTCGCTAAAACAAAAGAGTGTCGGAAATGGTAAAAGCTGATAAAAAAAGTGATAGCAATCAAATCTGTGTAATCTTTCAAACGCATTTAAAGTTGAAAAGATAAAAAGCAGAATGTATGAGAGGAATTAAAAACAAGTAAAAGATTCAATTTATGTCGGTTGAATTCTGCTGATGCTTATAATTGCTAGCTTTGATATTTTAGCTTGATTATGTGCTGTGTTCGCTGTAATAAGAAAGAATATACATATCGAAATACGTATCTACAGTAAAGAGAACGTGACTTTGACAAAATTCAAATAAGATTGTATCTTTATACATATATTTGCCCTCTTTATATCCTCGATACCAGAGATATAGAATCTACCGGGGATGTGAAAACTGCTAAAAGGGAAAGAATAATTGTTTCTTCGAGAAAAAAACAATTACGTTAAAAAAATAATTTTCAAAGAATGCTTTCTCTCCTTTTGCTACGCAAATAATAAATATCTCTAAAATTATAATTTTATTTTTATTTTTACAAATCACTTGAAAAGGACTCAAAGAAGGGTCGAAACGTTAAAGTGATTGAATAAATAATATTTGCCAGTACGGTCGAGAGAAGATTCTTACCTTTTATAAATATCTCTATTTAAATTTTTTAAAAGTTCCTCGCAAAGTCATGCTAGATTATGCAGCGTAATATGCGAGAAATAAATTTAAAAAATTGGTCTCGATATATAAGAGTGCTTGTTTTTCCTAGATCCGAAGAATTTTTCCTTTGTACGCGACACACACATACGGGGTGGGAGAGAACCATCTTCGATACACAAATTCTCGTGAAGAAAACGCTGACCTAAAAAAATTCGTCAAAGGATCGGCGGTTGAAAGACATCCGATAGATCCGGGGCATGTAGGTACCAAAGATATCGCCGGACGTTTATTCGCCGCAAAAATGTTTCGAGCGCAGCGTCCGCCGGTCCGGCGTCGTAAAGACGCTTCCCAGAGCGGTCCTTAAAGCGCCATTGGGAGAGATCTCCCTCTCCCTCCAGCCCCCTTCATCCCTTCATCCGGACATTCAACGACGGACGGAAAGGAAGGAAGACGGATGAACGTGGAGAAGAAGAAGAGGAAGCGAGAAAAGCGATCGACTACTCTCTCGTCGACTAGAGAGAGAGAGAGGGAGAGCTCGGAGAGATTTCCGCGTGAAAAACGATACCGGGATTCTCTCTCCTCTCCGAGCTGTCGCCGCTTTCCAGAGATCCTCCGGCTTCCACACGGCGACGAGACCGACAATTATCGGGTTCGGCACCGAACTCTCGAGGCGTGGCCGGAAAGAACGCGCGGAAGAGCGAAAGATATTATCGTCCGTAAGTTCGCTTCGCCACTTCGGCCCTCATTCTCTCTCCTCTCTTTCTCTCTTTCACCTTCCTCTCGTCCTTTAGTCTTCCCTCTCTGTGTGAGATCTAGTGCCTCGGAATAGAAGTAGTCGGAGCATGATCCTGAAGGCGCGTATCTAAATCACATCTCTCGCGGGAGCGCGCAAAAGTCTGCCTTTCTCTCTCTCTCTCTCTCTCTTTCTCTTTTTTTTCGGGACGACTCTTTCTTACGGCTCGCTCTTTTACCGCCACCGCGAGCGCGAGCTGTGCCTTTTTATCTCCTCCTTCAACCGCCCTCAGAGTCGGTTTTTTGATCTCCGAGTAATTTGAGAGAGGTGCCGCTTGTGAAAAAAAGCTCTATTCCTCTGGACTTTCCTCCAGGTGCTTTCCCTCTGTGCGCCTTCCCTCGCCCTCGTTTTTCTCCGCATCGCTCGTCACCGTCAAAGCGTCCGGCGAAGACTGCGATTTTTCGCTTTTTTGGACGCGAACGCGATTCTCGCGCGAGGAAAATCGATAAATTAATTATATAAGAAGTAATATATTTTATTTATAATCCTCAATTTTCTATCTTTTTTTGAGATAATTAATTTTTAAATTTCGAAATTGTTGTTAAATGGAATAAAATACTTTTGACATTAATACCATTTGTCGAATAATTTGGCGAAAATTGAAGCTTGGAATAATTATGTCGCGTTCTCTCCGCATTTCTTTCTTTCATTTTTAAATCATCGATTCGAACGGATGAGAGTCAAATATTAATTAAAATATTATATGTTACGCGAAATTCAGAAACGCCAGTCAAACGGATAGAAAAAATCCGGAAATTTAAAAAACGTGGATTTCGTCTATTCTATGCCGCGTTCACCGATAACGATACATCATGCTGTAGCAGTAAATCGGTTTCTCAACAGGTTGTCGAAGCAGGGGAAATGGAAGGCATTGACGATGTCTCCTTTCTCGCGTAAATGGTAGGATTCAGGATGAAAGGACCGCAATACCTGCGCGCCGATTTAATTCTGAAAAATCTGCCGCCTGACCGATTCGCAACTGCTTTTTTTCCTCCGCAAAGTGCTCGTTAAAGGCTACGATTTGCCGGTTAGATTTCGCCCGAAATCGCTTCCATTTTGATGAGTGTTTGAAAACGGGGGACCAAAGCGCATCGAAAATAAATCCGATCAAACGCGACGAGAAAAATGAAGAAAATGCAGGCACATAAAGCCGCACGCTAGTCTGGTTCTTTCATTCACATCGTTCGCGCTATTTATACGGCGTGTATAGACTTTTATAATCCGTCGTGTTATAAAAAAAATATATGTACAGATATACTGCAAAATTATAGAAAAAGACTGTCAGAAAAATGGTTGCATTAAATTTTTTATTAATTATTTTTTTTTTGGAACGCATTCATTTGGAATTCTGTTTCTTTCGCGAGGGCAGTCGCACAAGAAGCATATTAATAATTTTATATTACGGAAAGAAAAATATTTGATATTTCATATTATTTTCGTGATAAAACATGAAACTGTACCTATAATCATGATATAATCAAACAAAATGATACGTATGTATATGTATGTAAATTTTTTAATATGTTTTCTTTGAAATATGGTGCGTATGTACAAATGTAAATTATTTTGCAAAGAACATCAAGAACTTTGCAAATATTTCCATTCGCAGTAATTTAAATACCCAAATATAACACGAGCACAAAAGTAACGTCACTAATTTCCGTAAATGTAAATCATTGGAAGGCTATATTCGTAAAATGAATATTCCATTCTATTATATCCTCTATCCATTTGCTAGTCGTCCTAATAGCAGAATCGATATAGAACGATGAATATTTAGACACTACCCACACATTTTGCAACGTAACTTGCTATAATTGACATCGCTACGATAGCTTCAAAGTAGACTATATCGGCGTGGCGGCATCGATATATATATATATATATATATATATATATATATATATATATATGTATGTACGGATGTATATACCGTAATACATTAAATCGAAGCACGTCAGTCAAAAGTAGATATATATAAACCCGATATATTGACTACAAATTTAATCTCCCCTGCGCCGCGCTATTAAATGCGAATCCATCGAGTAACAAGTGTTTAATTGAAGCGCGCAAGATATGCAAGCTGATGGGGCGATCAGCAATCTATCGGAGTCGTCCAAGTGATTGCTCGCGCGAGAGACCAATCACGCTAATAAGCTCCGCTACTCAAACTAAACTGCGCCAATTAATCATCGCGACTAGGCTTTTATAAAGATTTTACTCCGACTTCTCCGGCGTGGCGCGTCGTTCTCTTACGAGCGGTATTTTATCTAAATTTATGTAACAGAAAATGAGAATGCTATGAACTATATTATAATAATATATGAAAATACTGAATATTCGACACAAAACGCGGCTAAAATTTCGTTGCGCAACACTCATTACATTATTATAAATTATGTAAAATACCGTATCGTTGTATCAAAGAGCTTATAGATTATAAAAGGAAAGTATTAACATAATTTGTGTAATAATATGATTACACGCATCGTATTTACATAATGTGTAATATGTATAACAACGAATGTTTCAAAGTAACATTCTTGTAAAATGAACATGTTATTATATAATAAATATTATATATATAACATGTTATATAATAATGAGAATTTTATATGAAAAAAACCGTCCCACATGTATTCAATTTACTTACATATTCAATAGTACACTAGCATAAAATGCAGTCATAAAAAAAGTGCAGAGACTTTTGATCTTTAACACTTTTATCTTTATCGAGTATATAACGAAAAAACTATTGGTAGCATTTTTGTTAAAGTAAAAATGTGCGCTAGATTTATCAAAGAACGCATAGCTAAAAGGGAGTATATGATGAGAGAAAGAGAAAAAGAGGATACCCAGAGGAAAAAAGCCTAGACATCCTGCGCACTCGCTCTTTTTTTGCATCGTGAGCTTTTCGAGATTCAACAGTGCTTTGTAATTCGAAATTTATGCAACTACTACTACACATTCATCTACTTTTTTTTCTATACAAGCTATAAAATGATCAATGAACAAAGCATATCGCAAATTCTCGAGAAGCATATTTTTAATTAAACACTAGACGTTACCAGTATTTCCGAGAGTGAATTCTCTTATATATAGAACACAGATGCAATTTTTTTCGTAAACAACAAAGAACATCTTACCTGCGCTCTCCGAAGCGGGCACGTCGGGACAGGCCTGATACTTGAACAGGAGTCTGCTGTCATCTGTACAGGTGTCGACGTTGCTCGGCGGATTGGAGCACGTGCCGTGACCCCGGTTGTACGAGAAGGTCATGGGACCACGAAAAGGGCACGCTACGGGTGGCGCCTCCTCGCGAAACATAGAGTATAGCAACGCATCGCCCGTAATTAACGCGCAGAGGGACGCCAGAGAATTCTTACTGTGACAGTAAGCTGCAACAAGAAAATTAAAACACATGAAATCGCGGATTTTATATGTATAATACATTCTGTATACATGTAGATCTTATTCTCTATGTATCTTGATGAAATTTTCGACACAGATTTTCATCGAGAGAAACATATCCATTATTTGGAAACGTGGCATTGCATATTAAAAGCGTAGCAAAAACGATATGACAGAAATGCATTAATATGATAGACAGAACCGGGTGGTAATTTATGTATTATATAAACGAGAGATACGTTTAAATATGTTTAACAAATTTATTTGAAACGCGTTAAGTACAGACACAATATAAGTCATAATTTCCCGTCAGAAGAGACAAAAACTCCGATTAATGAAAATATTTAATGTGACATTTATTTCACTTTATAGCATCTCTTTATGATTTTATGAAGAGAAAGGCGAATCATTTTATTTTACGAGAAATTTACACACCTAAACTAACATTGAAAACACGCATTTATTGTTATTTGATTTTAAGCCGCATTCGAAGCAAATATATGATATGTATTGTCACAAAATTCGTTCAAAAGATCGTGATTAGAGGTCTTGTAACATCGCGGAAACTTCAATTTTCCCGAACGCAATATCGCCGTTATCGGATTTCGTATCGCTGATGATAACGTATCACTCGTACAACGTAAAGTGAATGAAAGCCTCTACAAGCCGTCCTATTACTTGGTTCACTTCGCTCTCGGAAAAAGTTCCGCGGCAGCAAATCTTTCGCTACGACGCGTATCATTTTTCGAACGAGCCAACGATAATCGCAGTTACATCTCTTTTTACGAGGCTCTCTCCCAGAGGAATCACGACGTTAATAAAAATTTTGCCGGGTAACGAAAAGTTCTTATATCGTCGGTGACGTCGGGGAAGAAGAAGAAAGGGGGATTGAAGTAGTCTCAGCAAGCGTCGGCGGAAGAGAGAAAGAAGGTCGAGTTGGACGATGACGAATCTTTCTGAGTAGCAAGTTCATACTCGCGGTGGAAGTTTAACCGAGGATATTTCCCTCGATTTCTTTCCCCGCTCCGCGGAAAACTGCCGGGGACTCAGCGGCAAAAGACTTCACTTCGCAAAGAGACTTAACTTTTCTGAACGCAGGTGTTACCCGCGGCCAGCGAAAAATCAAGCAAAAGACTTTTGTCTTTAGTCTACCTCTTTATTGGCGGCACCCGAGCTCCTTCGGAGCGCTTAAAGCTTCTCTTCTAATTCGAATACTTTCAGCGCCCGCGTAGACTAGTTCCTTGATACGTTTCTTCGCAATTGTTGAAAATTGTAAGTGATAGAGAAATTCAGATATAGACCATTTTTCATATCCGATTTAAAAAAAGAACTTTCAAAGTATTTATTAAAAAAATAAAAATAAAATTAGGAAAACAAACAACAATAATTTATTAATAAATTTGATAAAAGGCTGTTAAGAGCAGTAAATATAAAAATAATATTCTTTAATATAATGTCTACTAATAAATTACAATAAAAGGTGACAAAAAAAAGAATTAAACATAAGTACTCTTTAAATACAAATATAAAGTATTAAATACAAAAAAATAATTTATTATTTGGAAGAATGTTTTGAAATGTAGGAATTTTCTTCGGTAATACCAAGGTACATAAAATGGCATATATAACTAGATTTCAAAATACAATATACATAATAAATAATATTATTTAATTAAAAAATAAAAAGATGCAATTTCGTCATATGTGATGCACATTCGACGTTACTTTTGTATATCACATTTATTATTGAATGGGAAAAATTCCATCGGCACGTACGGCGCAGACACGCCGAGTTTTCAGGCTGCTCGGGCCCCGCGTGAGAGCGGAACAAAATTCGCGTTTCCTTAATAAAGTATACGTCGTCTGCGGAAATATTGCATTCGCGCGTTCGACGTTTCGCTCGTCCGTGCTTTGACGTTTTCGCAGCGCGTTCCGCGAGGATTCGCGCGCTGGGAGAACGTTCGCGCGAATTCTCGGGCGGGCTCTTCCCATTTTTCCCGACGACAAACTGTGCTCGCAACGAAGGCAGTCTGCGAGCGACGGTGCTCGCGGCGTGACACTATGCAGATTAAAGCCCGATAAAACGACGAGAGAGGAGAGAAGAAAAACGGCGGACTTTGACAAATCGTCGAAAAATGCCGACGCGAGACGTAGGAGGCGGATCCAGCGCGGACGCTGTCGCGCACTTTTTCCGCTCGTACATGTTGACCTGTGCTTTTTTCTTTCTCTCTTTTCCCTCTGCCCGAGAGTCGGATGCAGTAGTAGTCCTCCTATCGTATCCGCCAAGCGAAACTTCCAGCTACTTCTTGGTGCTCGTATCGTCGCGCGCTCTCGATAATCGATCAAATTGCCGGGGAAAAATATATTCCTAAATCGTCAATTAAACAAACATACACGATTGTGTGGAAATTAAAACTTACGATTCGCGACTCGTATATGTAAAATATCGGTGGATTATAATTTCTTCTCATATGGAGATCACAGATGACGGGGAATTTTTAGAAGATTGTAATATTGGAAATTATTAAGCGAAATTTTATTGGTAATTATTATCGTTTCGACGCAAATTCGCTCGGGTGAATGTATTAACGAGGCAGTTGGAAAACGAGTATCTGTAGAAAATTGAGCGATGCGTTCTCGATCTCCTTTATGTATTATAAACGAGACTGGTGAATCGCGGAACGGAATTAGGGGAAAAGCATTTTCTAACATCGCGTTCATCATTACTCTCGCGAGAGGACGTAGAAGATCGTTCGATTCTGCGTTCGAGAAATAATTTCAGGCGTTACGACTCGCTCTCGGCATTCTCCCTTTCTTCCTCTCCTTCCTTTCGTCATCATGCCGAGCTTTTAATTAACGATCGGTATTCTAATGAACGGACGGCTTTTCGAGGAGATCGTTATTGATCCCGCGAAATAACAACGACGCCGAGAGCAGCGTTACGTGCTTCGCGCATACTTGTTTTTACATCTTTTTCGTACTTACTCTCTTTGTACTGAAGAACGTTGGAGTGCTTCTCGTGAATGACGACGCAACGGTAGCATGATTTCCTGAAACAAAAAGACAAAGTACTCTACATTAAATCGCGTTCTTCGCGCTGTAATCGTTCGAGAACGTTTCACTCTACTTCCACCCTCGCGTTAAAGTTAAACAGCTGCAATGAGACGACTTGAATGATATATTTTTAAAACGCAGGCATTGAAATTAAAAAAAAAAAAAAAATATGTCAATTGTTTATTAATCATATTTTTCAACGAAACAAAATGAGAAAAAATAGTATGCATCATTCGAGATTATTTTTATTCTCTCTTGTAATTCTCTTTTTAAAGTTGAATAATTTGAAAATATCGTAATCAATAAATTAACTTCATTATATAATTTTACTACATTTTAAAGATACGACACAATTAAATTTTCCTTACTATGTCTCGCGACGCGTTTTATCTCGCCTGATACATTGGTATATCGATCACATATTTCATATATAGATAAGTCTGCAATCTTTAGAAAAATGTAAAGAAACAGCTCGTACGACAAGCGAAATAGAAGCTCTGCTTCTGTCGGAGCTTCGTTAGATTTATTTCTATAACCATTTTTCTCATTTTTTTGTGAAGAAAGATTGCATTTCTAACTGTTTCGCCGATCGCATCATAACTCGTTTCACGGATCGCATATTGCAATTCCGTCGTTCATAGATAAGTGCCTATTTTTACTGTAAACGCGAAAGATACAGATTCTCTGAGGATAAATTTAGCCTTTTATATATATATATATAATTTGCAGCAAATTCCTTGTAAAAGAAGCTGGAAAAGTTTACAGTCATATGCTTTTGAAACGATACCGCCAATTCTGCGGAATTGAATAAACCGCTAGTCGAGATAAAAAAAGGATCCGGGTTATTCGGTTGAACGATATCACTATATTAGCTTTAGTAACTAAGGCTTTGATCGGTTGGATACATGTATTCTATACATGTTATCTGTGAATCCTACTGTGTATAACTCCATAGAAAATGTTCAGAGTAAAAATTGTCTCGCTGCAATATTGCTTGCGAGATGCGCTCAAAAAGATTGAAATATGACAGATACATGTAATGCGATAGATAACTTTATTATGATATCTGAAAGAACCAATATCGGATTGGTTCGAAAGATACATCCGGGTCCTCTCTATTGCTTAATTATTTTTTATAATACGATTAAATACGCGACAAGAAATATACACAAATGTCTGCGAGTTTCTATGAAAGATATTTTCAGTTACATGCTTTTAGTATCTAAAGATTCTACCGATGATCATTTTTAAAGTAATATATGCTTTATTATATTTATTCATTCTATTATTTACCACATTTATTATACATCTAAGAATAACCCAATAGAAAATTAATTGTAATAAAGAGAGTTTTTATAATTTTAAAGAGTATTTTTGATCATGTTATTATTTAATTTAGCAGAATAAGAGAATACGTAAAGTTTTACTTACAGATCTACTAAAAGAAACTTGTCGCCTTCGTTGTGTAGACATTTGCCCTTGGTTGATAATTCGTTCTTGAATATTTCTATTGATTGCCTCACGCCACTTTGGAACCACTTGCCTTCCCATCTCGCTGGAAACGAGCATTCTGAAATCACAAAAAATAGGGCAAGGTTAAAAAACACTTCGACATATATCTTTTTCTAGCCATATTACTGTTATATAATATCTTTTTCACTACATATATATATTTTTCGTATCACGAAACAATCTTTATGAGATTAATATAAAATAATAATGTTTATTTCCAAAATTCTCTAATGCCTTTTAATGCACGAAACTTGCCATATCGTTACACGTTACGAGAAAAAAAAGACAAAAGAGTGTAATATACCCAATGAAGTAATTCGGGACAAATCGAACGTAAGACAAAAGAAAAGGAGTAACAATAAAAGAGAGAAGCAAAAGAGAAGAAGTAGAATTTGAGGCAGAGTTGTGAAATAGAAAGAGAGAGAGACTTTTTCACTACATATATATTTTTCGTATCACGAAACAATCTTTATAAGATTAATATAAAATAATAATGTTTATTTCCAAAATTCTCCAATGCCTTTTAATGCACGAAACTTGCCATATCGTTACACGTCACGAGAAAAAAAAAGACAAAAGAGTGTAATATACCCAATGAAGTAATTCGGAACAAATCGAACGTAGAGACAAAAGAAAAAGGAGTAAGAATAAAAGAGAGAAGCAAGAGTAGAATTTGAGGCAGAGTTGTGAAAGAGAAAGAGAGAGAGAGAGAGAGAGAGAGAGCACAACGTCGATGGCGAGATGGGAATTCCCGGGGTGGGATAATCCCGAGGGCGAGGCGAATTTCCGGAAACTACTGCTAGTATGGAAGGGATACATCCAGCCGAGTTATCGACGATAATCGAAATCCGGAGGAGTCCCTTGTGCCTCGTTCGTTTCCCCGTGCGTAGGTCCACCTATCTGAAAACGAGCGGAGAAACGAGAGGGTGGACGACGCGGCGGGGTATATTTTTGAGCTCGTCCAGGCCGGATAGGAATCCATTTTCGAGAAACGAGCGGATACGGAACGATGTTTGATCTAAACATGAGGTGAAAATGACGAAATAGGAATGATAGATGTACATATCTCTCTTCTTTTCTTCCCGTACAATGGATATTACATGTCCATTTTCTGAATAAAACATATATTAGCTTTCAAACTGCGAACTCGAGATAAATCCGATACAGCTAGTCTCGCTGTATATTTCTCATTTCAACGATATAGTTTATGTATAATGCATGTTTTTTATTAATTCTTTGTACACCCGAATAGCGAACAAATTAATAGAATAATAATGATTCTATTATATAAAATAATGTTAATTATAGTTTGAAATAATTTTCGTAATAAAATTAATAATATATTCATTTCTCGAGATATATCGTACAACGTCTTCATTTTATCTTGATTCGAATTGTCAGTCCATATATACATGTCTGATATAATTCACGTCAGAGATTAATTTAATACCATAACTTTATTATATAGCATCACCGGTTCGCTTGTAGAGGTACCCTTCGTTAATATCCTATCAGATGTAACTGTCTCAACTACCCTTATGTATAGCCTAGCATTAGCCATACTGCTAAAACTAATAGTCTCATAATTTTGATTTATTCTACGCAATAATTATCGCAATAAATTTTGTTCGCAATTAATCTATCGATAATAATATTTTCATATGATTTTTAAAAATAAAAAATACAGGGATTGAAATGTCACATTAAAGTTGAAGTATATCGCGTAACTGCGACATTTAATTCACTTAATTAAGCATCGGCAAAGAGCGTAATTAAGAGACGACTAAGCGCCGCACGGTGCGAAAGTAATTCAACACAGAAATATTTTCGCAAGGATCTTTTTTTGTGACGGTAACAAAGGGAATTTTAGCGCAGGGGCGTCTCTAACGGGGCAAGACTGTTATCGTTTCCCGAAGTTGACTCACGGTGTTGATTCGTCTAATTGAAGTGAGTTTTTTTTAGCTCTTTATAAAGGGGAGACGGTTAAATGTTGGTTAAATGGTTTACCGACCGTGGGGTAAATAGCGACCTCTTCGAGAACAAAGCTCGGCGGCTAACGCAAATTTTGACTGAGTGTTTGCAATAACAAAGCGTACGAATGAATTCCGAGAGCCCCCAAACGTCGAGACTATATTTTTCAGATATTCTTCGTCTTCGTTTTCACGCACGAATGCTCATTGACATGCTAAGCTTTGAAGCTTTTATAGCGGTTTGCACAAACATAGGATGTTTCCTCTTCATTCTGCTCAAAGAAAACAAAAACCACGATTTCTATAACGGATGAGTCTAGAAAGAATTTTCTATAAAAATTAACGGAAAATCTCTTTCATTCCGCACAAAATTAATATCACGATTAATCTGATTAATTCCGTTTGAATCCATCGGGCCTTTGTCAATTTGACATTTTTTTTTTAATATTTAGAAATATGTATTTATAAACATGCAAAGAGAGAGTATTTACAAAAGGAGATAATATTTAATTAAAATAAAATATAAAACACACGAACCCATTTAAACGCGAGCTCTAAATGTTGATGCAGCAAACGCATACATCAGCGGGATTAATTAAACTCTGATCGTTCGCTGTTTATTTTGCATCATTCATATCAAACACAGAAGTAAGCAGAGGGTCAAAAGAAGAGATTGATTACGTGCGATGAAAAAATCATCGAACACTCAAAAAACGATAGGTACAGGTGCGCTCTCGGCGCGGAATTGGGATCGATACTACTGCGCGCAGGGGTTTCGAGAGAACTACGGTCCTGAAATTCGTCAGCCACCCTCTCTCGCGCATCCATCTACCCCTTCCTCCCCCGTCGTCGTTTTACCGTCGGCGGCCACCCCCGGGCATTTATTTATTTCCACGCGGTTCGTATGCCGCACGTTGCCTCGTCTCCCGACTTTCGGGCACGAACGAGCAGCGAGACGAGACCGGGGGTGCGAAGGGGGTTGAAAGGGGGCTCTGGAGGATCGAAAACGCGGCGCGGGACCCGGCGAGGGGTGAGAGAGACTCCGCGAGTGGTTACACGCTAGGGTCGTAAAATCCGCGGGCGAGACTCAAAATCCGTAATCACAGTTCGCACCAGCCCGCCCGACGTGATGAAGCACCTTCGAGAGAGGAGGCGAAACGCGGGGCTGCGGAAAAAAGAAGTTGGAGGGATAACTCTCGGGCCTGGTCTCGAACGTTTTACGTGAATTTCATTCTTCGATTCACGACCTCTCCGCGAAGCCGTTTTCTTTCGTTGCTTTGCCGCAACAATCGATTTTCAAGTCTACGTCGAGTCGAGGCCAGAATTTACGACTGGTATCATCCTCGCGCGTCGATTTATTTATCGCGATTTCGCATAAAAGAGAGCTTTTCAGATATTGAATATTTATAGTTCTTAGAGGAAAGAAGAAGCGGTTGTATTAACTTTTTTTTTTTTTTTTTTTATCAGCGCGAGAGGCTAAATCGGAAGTGAGGTTTTCAGTGATTTTACGTGATGAAAGATTTGGCGGTAAAAGCGAAATGCCGAAGCTTTTCGACCACTGGCGAAATGGTATGCCCTATTTTATATTTATGTCGCATACCTTTAGTTATACTGCTGGGAAACCGACCGAATGGACAAAATCGATACAGGTATCGATACGCGTGTTGATCCAACCCAGGCTGGGTAAATTGAAATCGATTATCTTTAAAATGTGTTCCTTTACCGTGACAGAGTATCTCATCTTTAAGCGATAAAGAAACGAATCCATATTTAGATACAATTCTTACATTGTATCAAATGTGTTCTACGTTTTCTTTTAAACATAAATAATACTACTAATCTCATGGTCGGATATAGATATTTTCGAGTAAACAAACATCTCTGATAATATAGACCGTATCCTAATAATAACATTTTATTTAATTAAATAAATGTGCAACTTGTATATCAAACAGCACGTTATGATACGAGTTATGTTAACTGAAAAGGTAGAAAATCTAAATATTTTAATAAAGGAAAAAAATGTTTTATATTTTTTATTACGTTTGAAATCGATATTTGTTGAATTTTATTATCATGCTTAAAATATTATTTGTATTTGTATGTGTAAGTATAATTTGACAACATGCATTATATATTTATATATATTAAAATTTTGTAAACCGTAAATAAAAGGAAAAAAAGAGTAAGAGATAAAAGCGCAAAGAATATAAAATAATAATGAAATTTTGCGTAGCAATCAAATAATGCCGGTATCATTATTTTATGGTTATTAGCCAATAACCTTAAAATCTTGGATAGCCAATAAGGAAATCGTTTAGATAAGAATGTTTTACCTGCGACAAAATTGGATATTCCTCAATTTGTATTAGTCATTAACGAAGAACCCCTCTTGCAAAATTAATCAAATATTTCCAATTACATATAATAATATAACACGAGATTGATAATATCATATACATATCGCAATAAAGAGATATTATAGGAAAATTGTTGTTAATTAATCAATAATAAAATACAATTTCAAAAATAAAAGCTTAACTAAATAAATAATTATAAAAATTTTAAATAATAAAAAAAATGCAATATATCAATTCCTTCAACAGATTATCCGTCGCCAAAATTTTCTTTCGGTCGAGATACAAACGATCGCAGCACACATATTTCGTAAGGATATATCCACAATCAGAAAATGAAATAATCTGATTATGCAAACGAAGTAACTTGGATAGCTAGATATCGAAATGAGGAAATATTACACAAAGGTCTACCGCACCAGTAATCTTTCTTCCGAGAAATTAACGATCCTAGTTATTCAAAATTCTCTTGCAGCGTAACTTTTGCCAGTGAAATAGCTCGTACCCACTGTTTTCAGGGGTAATCGCGCGAGCTTACTCAAGATTCCCCCACCAGATTCGGACGACGTTACTTACCGCGTAAGTTACGATCGTTGTATCAGCGAGAAGTTGGGAAACGTTCTTATGTGCTCGACACGCAATTAAGTGGGCTTTATTCCCACGGACAGGACATTACTTTCCTCGTCCAAGTACAGTTACTCCGCTTTTGTTGAACGATCCCTCGCTCGCGA